AAAAACTTAAGTATTATTCATCCAGTCCAAGTTTATCAGGTTTCCTGATCCAATCGATGATGTCACAATATGCTCTAGTGCTTTTGCACCTTTTACTTCTGCATGTAATATCAGAGCAGCTTTTGACACACACACACACACACACACACACACACACACACACACACACACGTTCAATATCACATCAAGAATACATGCACATCCATTCACTACCACCTTTGTCTAATTGGTTGCATTAGGAAATATCTCAGCAATGACTAGTCACACTATAATTCATGCAATACTCGCTGCCAAACTTGATTATGGGAATTCATTTTTATTTGGACTTCCAGAAATTAAATAGCATTAATCTACTTCAAAGAACCCTATACAATGTAACAAGCTCTGTTTTCAATGAAAGCAAAGCTTGGCTCAATTCAAAACAAGTATAAAAATTTCAATTTCTCTTTTTGACAAAAAAGACCTATCCTCGTTTATGGTTGTGATGTTTGGGGTGATGAGTTCTCCACTAAATCATTCATTGAAGAAGTACCATGCTATTGTTTTAGCTTTACCCTATAATCGTTTGCCAATGTTTGTTCACAGACATTGGTCTCGTTAGCTGTGGTTTTGTGGTGTTTTGGGTTGAGGGAGATATTTTGTTTCGTCTGTCAATTATATACACATCGTCGGTATACAGCCAGACCCCACGATCTGTCGAAGTCTCATACAAAATACACTATGCCACTAACCCATCGCCGGATTGTGTTTTTAATGAGAAACTGACAAAATCTTTTAAAAACGGATAACAAGACGCAGTCGATTTATCAATAGTATATAATTTTGCCTGGAGGTATTTGTTTGGCCAAAATCAGGTTATTTATTTTGTTTTCTGGCCATTTTCACAGACCTGTGTTCACTCTCTCCACTTTTACCATTTTGCTCATAGGGCTGCACCACAGCGTTTTGGGTTCGGCTGTATACCGACGATGTGTATACAATAGACATACAAAGCAAAATTCCTTCCCGAACCCAAAACGATGCAAAACCACGGCTATGGTCTCGAAACATGGCGCACACCCTATCGCATCGAGCGTTTATATGCGATCAAAATCATTTGCTTATGATGAAACTAAGTTGAATTTTATTTGAATTTCATAATTCAACAAATTTATTTTTGTGCGTTATTATAATCACTAAACAATTGTGAAACGCAGCGTGACCAGATTGCGCATCTGTGATTGTTTGCTACTATGCAATGCAGTTATGTTCGTTTTCATTTGAAACTTCATTTAAATATACTTTCATTACCAATAAAATAAAAACAAATGTATTTGAAAAATGTCACTGGTCATCGTAATGAAATTTCAGGCGGTCTACTTTTTAATTCAGCAACAATTATTAATTATTGTTAATTCTGCAATAGTTGCTTTCGTCTTGGGTGGTCCAACTGATGGCGTTGAAAGTCTGCGTAGTTGAAATTTTGAACTCCAAATAAGCGCCAACCAGCCGTAAAATCCCCAGGGCGATTTTTCAGATGGGTGAATTTACAGCAGAAACCGGTATTATATAAAGAAAGTATTATTATGGAAGTCTAGCAGATATTGCCGATGTTTTATACTGGTTGTAGTCTGCATATAATAATAATAATGAATTTATTGCACCCTTAGAAATAATTTCCATTGGTTGACAGCAATAAAATGTTAGTAATAAAGTACAATACATATAAAATTAAAGAATAAGTCAGTTATTGTTATTTCTGATATGAAAGTGGTTGTTGATGCCCCTCCTAAGAGTATTATTATAGCGATAACCACTCACACTGTGCACATTTTAGCACTAGATCAAGTGCCAATTTAGCACTAAATCTAGTACTTTTAGGATTACTGCTACTAGCACTAACCACTTGCAATATGCCCATTTCAACACATTTACATACATGCAACAAACAAAAACTCTGTCATGAATGGTTACTCTTTGATGTCTGTCACTTTCTGATTAACTTGTATGATGAAAATCATAGTCTCATAAGAAAGGGAGAAAAGTTTTAGTATTGTTGCCGTTTGGCACTTGTTATACTTTTGCTACGTATGACGTCATTGAGACATGCATTGCACTGTGCGATGTACTTCAATATAAAATCCAACATGGCTGAATAATGTGTTGACTATTCATTGGTAGGGACAGACTCCTTTAGTTGCTGCCCAGCGAGTGTGGACAAACTCAGTAATAAAAGCGAATGAGAAGTGTGTATTTTACACCTCAAAGTAAAAGCAAATTCACAAAATAAATCTTATAGAAATGTCAGTACAAAAATATCCTGTTACATGGAATGTAGGTAGTCAAAATCTGACTGTTTTGCACGAGTTTGTGTGAGAAACGTGTGCACTCATCTACATACATACAAACATGCATGCATGCACACACATGGTTGTAGCAAAGACATTAAAAACTTTTCTATTGTCTTTGGTTGTAGTAATATAATTAATAACATGTATGATTCATCCATACTGATATTTGTTTTGCAGCTGGCTGCTTTGATGATATTGATGGTTTCTACCTTCCTGATCGAAAGGGCCATAAAACTATTCGTTTGGCTAGAGCAAGTCTACAAGGGAATATGACATATGTATTTCGTGTATTACTGTCAAAGAATAATAAAAGTAGTGTATATGCGGAGCAATCTGTTGAAATACTTGCTGGAAATCCTCCTGTAGTTTTAATAAGGTGAGTCATATATAAGTGTGATATTAATTAACCAATGCACTAGATAAGAGGTTGATTCTGTGGGTGGTTGTATGTACATGTATATATCTATGCATCTACAATGTATAGTGACAAGAAGGTACATTGTGGGTAGTATCTAAAAGATGTAATTCCACGAATGTATTTGTCCCAACATGTGATGTACTGAGGGTGACTAAAATTGAATGTTGACTAAGGTAACTATATATTTTATGACACAAACCCAGATAGGTACATGTGAAAAATAGAGTTTATTACTTTGGCAAAACAGGGGGGCACACAACGAAATTCATTGGACTACAAGAAATAAAACAGGATGGACATGTCATGAGCCCCCATCATGTGAACGCAAGAACTCTGAAATAATACACAACTTAAAAATCTGTGTTAGTAATGGAGCTTCAGTCGCTGAGGCTGTAGTGTAATGAGAGATTGCAGCGTGACAGCAATTTGAGGTATAGGCAGCGAAGGCTGCGGCTATACTGTGGAGCAGCAGCATGGCTGCAAGAAGCTAGTAGTTATCGTAGATGCAGCGTGGCTGTGAACTACCAAGGTTAGCTGTTTGAAGCAGCATGGCTGCCAATGAATGGTTAATGAGGTATTAATAAAATACATAAATCTCTATAGATAAAGTACAACTATAGATAACAATATAACTGAGTACAAAATATTATCTTGGGGATATGAGCCCCATGAAACAATGGCGAAGTCCCCAGAATGATGTAATGATAATTACAGAATATTATTATTTATCTTTATTTCAGACTGTCAAGCATTTGAAAGTCCATATAAAACTAGTATGAAAAATAAATAAAGAACAACAAATATATGTACATGTATATAGGTCAGTGTTCATATGGCAATATTAATAGTACAAAATATTATTCCAATGCTGGAACAAGGCAGACTTCCAACAGACATCTGAGTTACATAAGCTCACCAACAGACTGTTATCAGAGGTGTATATACGCTCTCTAAATTTAAATACAAGATTTCTAAAAATTTCGTAAAAAGACTTGACTTGATTGTATACAAACATATGATTTACACTATAATCACGTGGGTAATGAAAAAAGCGGCGAAACAAGTTATTATAAAATACACGCAAAGCATTAAAGTTCGACTTCCGAAAGGAGCACCATAGTTGACAGCAGAAAAAGTTTTAAATAACAAAAGTTTGACCTCAGCTACATTTTGAAAATTTCCGTAATAGAAGATTAGCCCTGATGCAAAATAGACGTTTCTGATGATCTATATCAGTGTTATCCTTCAAATCACTAGTAAGCTTGTGACCAAGATATGTAAATTGGTCAACAATTTGCATTGGCTGTCCCGACAAATATACTGGTGGTATTTTGAAAACACTGTCGACTATAAAAACACATACATTTAGATTTAGTGACATTATATGTGATATGATCATACGCAAAGCGACCACATATTTCCAAACGTCGTCTGAACCCCTTAATAGAGGGCGATAGCACACGCATATCATCAGCATAACCGAGATTGTTGAGCAACTTATCACCAACTCGGCAACCACTCAGAGTGTCGTTCAGTTGGATATTCAGATTATTAATATATACATTAAATAACATAGGCGTCATAACTACATAACCTTGACGTACTCCGTTGGATACACAGGATATAGCATTCCCATTTAACACAATACTTTTGATGTTGATACCAACTCATTAAAAAGCGAACTATATATGTAGGTACATTACGTTCAGCCAATTTGTAAAATAGCATCCAGTGACTGTCAAATGCCTTTGAAGCGTCAAGGAAACAGACAAACACGTGACTACCGAGCGAATTATAATGACGTGCTGCTTCTTTTAACAGAAATACACACAGATCCGTTGAATGTTTTTTCCTAAATCCAAACTGATTGTCAATTAGGACAATAAACTCCTGGCATTTAGACATCATTATATGCTCAACAATTTTGGAAATGACGGTGGTTATCGCAATCGAGCGATAATTATCTAAACTAGTCACATCACCAGCGTTATTCTTAATTAGTGGCACAATAACAGCTTTTAATAAATGCATTGGATGCGTTTTGTTTCTGGACAATGGCATTAATTTTTCCAAGGTAGCCAGTGAACTCGTCAAAATTGTTACTGCAGTTAATTGGAAGGTACACACATAGAATGAAAAGCTGAACACATCCAAGTACAAACTCAGCACTGAGAAGTCTAGAATCATTAAAAGACTTTATTTTAATCGCGCCCCCAAGCAATTTTCTCCATAAGATAGTCCAGACCCAGTATCTACTGCCAACACACCATAAGCATGGAAATTTGTATGAATTGATGATAAATAAGCCAAATCTTCATGTAATAGCCAGTGTTCTTGTAAGAGACAAATGTTATGACTTTCACATAATCTATTAACAGTAGGCGCAGTAGATTTAATTGATCTACAATTATAGGAGGCAATATTAATCGTGGACATTGTATTATATTAATTACGACGTTGAAAAATTTTCGTACATGTACTTCTTCTGGCCAAGAGTCAGGATTCATGAGTGATAGAAAGTATGTTTCAGTTGTTGACACACAAAATGGCGAGTACGTATTATACCTTGTATCGAGGCGTACACAACAGATATCGGTAATATTCATAGAATTCTTAATATAGCTTTTCTGCATATCAACAGTAGTGTCAGGACCTAGTCTGCTTATAAAAGCGCTCATACGCCATGTACAATTGGTATACCATGATCGGTCTTGCGTCTGCCAATGAAAACCTTTAACAGCATAGCGATTACGTAGATGACTGGGGTTCTTAACACTTTCACGATTTTCACTAGGAGTTGGTTTTGGTAACAAATTGGACTCGTAGCAACCATTAGTTCTAAATTCAACCGCGTCTGCATAACTTTGGTGTCTACGTTTTTCACAACGTTTATCTCGTACCGTAGTGAAACCATTCACATTTGATACGCCTGTAGCTTCCTTAGCGACAGCACCATCAACATCTGTGATTATGGCACATTCGCTTTCATTATTGGTCACTTCCACATCACTGTAGCTACATACCTCATTAATTTGAGAATTCGCGACAGGTAATTCTGTGTTGTCACATGCATTAATTAACATAGTAGTGTCAGCTTTAACCAATAGTTTTTCTTTGATTGAACGAAGTTCGTCAAATATATTCCCATGCAATTTAGACATGGAATTCAAACCTTCTTTCAATGCTTCAATGTTCTGTTTAAATTGAGTGTTGTCTTTCAATAGTAATGATAGGTCAACATGATTATAATCTACAGGTGGTAGCCTTGACAGGTCTTTAACCACAAAACACGGAATATAATCCTGGTCGATCACTTGCAACAGAACCAAAATATCTTGTACATTATTCATAGATTTTTTATGCCCTTGTCGGCGAATCAGACGTTTTGAGCTATGATCACCACACAGATCAAACAATAACACCTTAACGTACTCTATTTCCGAGTCTGTATAGAAATCAGTGCACAGTTTAGTAATAATATCTATAGCAAGAATATCCATCTTATTTACATTAAAATACAGCATTTCACTAATGATTGGAGCAGATGTAGAAGATGCTTCATCACCCAAATTTCTGATTAAATGATCCTGTACCCCAACTCGTGCTGCTGTAGTTGCAGCGCCAATCCTAAAAGAGTGACCTGAAATTTGCTGGTGTCAGCACCAATAGCTGTAAGTAAAGACCTGAAACATGACAAAAAGCGTGATCGACTCAGTGGCTGGCCGTCCACGAAGACGAACAATGCATCACATGGTTTGATAACGCTTTAATGCTGGTACTGGACAGAACCTGTTATTCCTATACAGAGAGTGAGAAATGTGCCTTTCCAGAAGGGATCAGTCTTTGAGGCACAAGAACCTGGTCTGAATTTTGAAAAGTAATATCTCCCATGCATAAATGAATATTGTGATCGATGTGTGTGGAGTCCATGGAAAATTCCCCACACCTCAAAAAAAACAAAAAAGGCAACTGACACGACAGCCGTTAAAAGAGCATCAGTGTATGAAGTGAAAACCTCACCATGTAAGGCTGATGTTAACTGCATGCCAGAACTAAAATATCAGCAGTGATAGGAAGTCTAATCCTGGAATGCTGGCCTCGAAACCGCTTGATTGCTCGCAGTAATAAGTTTAACCTTTCCAAAGGACTACCATTGGGTGCTCGCAGTGGGTTTGGGGGCTCTGACTCTATGAAGTGAAATCTAATCCCTGCTAAATACAATTGAATAGTAGCACCACTGAGCTGTAAATCATGAGAGCAGAAAGTGACAAACAGAAGAAACAATTCTTCTGATACTGGTGGCAGTCTTGCTCCTGAAATTGGTACATTGTGCATAGTCAAAAATCTACAAAACTGTGAGTAGCCACTGTTGTAGATTTGTCTAGTTTTGCTTGATATAGCTGAGGTCTAAATAGTCTGAAAACTGTTAAATGTTGGCTACAGTGCTGAATGATGGACACTGGGTCTTGAATCGATGCCATTGTGAACACCTGGGACCTGCTGTGCAAGAAAAACAAAGTTAAAATACATAGCTGTGGAAGTTAAACGCCGCATCAACCTATTAATTACCTGACACTCTGCCCTTCTGAATGATGTGAACAGTTGCTAGGTTGTCGCAGTTAAAAATAATACGATGTTGCGACCACTGGCTACCCAAAGCATAGCTGCCACAACAATAGGCTGTAACTCAATTAGTGCTGTAGAATACAGATCTGCACCAAAATCACAATCTGTTGGCCATGGCTCACTGAACCATTGGCTTTGAAAATAACTCCCGAAGCCAAACTCTGGTGAAGCATCAGTATAAAGGTTCAAGTCAGAAGACTTGATAATGTTGCTGTGGAGAAAGAAATACAAACCATTCCAATTGTCTAGGAAATCTCTCCACATGGCAAGTTCTATACGGCAATCTGCATTCAACTAAACATGGTGATGAAGTTTGGACACAGAAGCTGCTAGCTGTAACAAATAGGAAATGAATGACCTGCCTAGCAAGACTACTCTAGCTGCAAAATTGAGGTGTCCTAATAATGACAGCAATTCACGTTTAGTCCCAGATTTCTTAGACATGAATTCCCCAATTTTTGAAATAATACATGCTTTCTTGTTGGCAGGCAAGAATGCTGTCATGTCATTAGTATTCAGTATAATACCCAGATATTCCAATTCCTGTAATAGCCCTACTATTTTGTGCTTAGACAAAGAACCTTGTAGGAATGAAAGATTATGGTCATAATGGCCATGGTACGCAGGGCCTGCTCCTCTGAGCTGTCAATTGTTAAGAAATCATCTAACAAATGCAGAATAAATTTAACCCCATACTTATGTTTTGACCTCTGTGTGTTCGTGCGTGCGTGCGTGCGTGCGTGTGTGCATGCATGCATGCGTCTGTGCGTGCGTCCGGACCTGTATCTTAGAAATGCCTGGACCAATCACAATCAAACTTCACACATACATCATACATGATATTATACATATGCACGTCAATTTGTTTCATACTGCTGCCAAAAACTAATCTGACAAAGAAATAATACAACCCTTGCCACTTGATACCATGCAGACACCAGATGGAAGTGTGACCAAGTTGAAAATAAGTTGATACAACACAATGTATGGTAGAGTATCGCCAGGTTTACACATTTCAGGCTTTATTTCTATCCGAGAAATTCTTACGATTCGTTCATCTTACAACTAAAGTAAGCGAGTGAACAAAACACAAAGAAAAAACCTAACGACAAAGAAAATACAAAAAGGTTACAAATACATAATACACTCGGCGTTTCAAGGAAGCATATTCAAGAAAATATAATCGAGGTGCAATATACAGTTTAAATCAAATTAATGGTAACAACATTATTATGACAAATAGCACATGGTCGAACAATTCAGAATACAAAGAGTATTACTCACCCAGTCAATTAGCAAACCCTAAATTCATTCCCGAAATACAGTGACAGTCTTCATAATTTACAGGAAGTGCCATTACAGCCTTTTCTAGGTGAAATTGCACACTGGAATAAGCCAAGCAGAGTACCTTCTCAATGAAAGTTCAGGAGTCCTCTGCCACACCCAGCCCAACTGCTAACTTGCCACGC